TTGCAAAGTGTTATGGATGAGTTTTTGAGAATGTGTGTAAAGGTAGAAAGTTGAAAGTGAACATAAGAAAATAGTAAGGTGATGAGGTATAAAATGATTAGATAAAGAAAAAATTGATATCAAATTGGGGAGGAGGAGTATGGAAGAATGTGAATGTTTTCAGATACTTGGGAGTTTTAACTTCGGCGGATGGATTTAATGGAAGGATGAGGTAATCATAAGAAATGGATGAGGGAAAAAAGGGTGATGTGCGTTGAGGTAAATGTGGAGTCAAAAAACGTTACCTATGGAGTCAAAGAGGGAATGTATGAAATATAGTATTACCAACACTCCCTTATAATGGGATGTGAACTTGGTGAAAATGCAGCAGTCGAGGAGAACGGATGGAGGCAGTGGAGAATGTCCTGATAAGGGCAATGTGATGGTGTAAATATTATGCAGAAAAATTCGGGATGTGGGAAAATAGAAGAAGTTGTGGAGTTAATAAAATCATTAGTCATAGGGCAAGAAGAGGGATTTTGAGGGGTTTGGTACATTCAGAAGAGAAAAGGACAAAGTAGAATGACATGGAACGCATTATAAATCTATAGGGGAAGGAAAGAGGGGTAGGGGTCGTCCTCGAAAGGGTTGGAAAGAGGGGGTAAAGGAGGTTTTGTGGGTGAGGGCTTGGACTCCAGCAAGCGTAGCATGAGCGTGATTAGATAGGATGAATGGAGACGAATGATACTTGGACCTATGATCTGTTTGGGTGTAGCAGGGTAATATTTAGTGAAGGATTCAGGAAACCGGTTATGTTTCCATATAGTCGGACTTGAGTCCTGGAAATGGGAAGTACAATGCCTGCACTTTGAAAGGAGGGGTTGGGATATTGGGCAGTGTGGAGGGACTATGTTTGTATCTTTTATATGTGTAGTGTTCTAGACTGTTTGTATTCTGAGCAACCTCTGCAAAAACAGTGAAATGTGCGAGTGTGGTGAAAGTGTTGAATGATGATGAAAGTATTTTCTTTTTGGGGATTTTCTTTTCTTTTTTTTGGGTCACCCTGCCTCGTGGGAGACGCCGACTTGTGAAAAAAAAAAAAAAAAAAAAAAATTCAGGGAAAACTTCAAAGGGTAGTGAGAGGGGGGGGGGTGGTGGGGGGGGGGGGGGGGGGGGGGGGGTAGTTGGGAATGGTGAGTAAAGGTAGAAAGTGAAAGTGAACATAGGAAAAGAGTAAGTGATTGAGGTGTCAAATGATTTAGATAAAGAAAAATTGGAATCTCAATTGGGAGGAGGAAGTATGGAAGAAGTGAATGTTTTCAATACTTGGGAGTTGACGTGTCGGCGGATGGATTTTGAAGATGTGGTTAAATCATAGAATTGATGAGGGAAAAAAGGTGAGTGGGTGCATGGAGGGTAATGTGGATCAAAAACGTTATCTATGGGGCAAAGAAGGGAATGTATGAAAGTATAGTAGTACCAACACCTAATGGGTGTGAAGCTTGGTGGTAAATGCTGCAGCGAGGAGACGTTGGACAGATGAGATGTCTCTGTTTTAGAGGCAATGTGTGGTGGTAAATATTATGCAGAAAATTCGGATGTGGAAATAGGAGAAGGTGGGAGTTAATAAAAGTATTAGTCAGAGGGCAGAAGAGGGGTTTGTTGAGGTGGTTTGGTCAATAGAGAGAATGGATCAAAGTAAATGACATGGAAAGCAAATAAATCTATAGGGGAAGGAAGGACGGGGTAGGGGTCGTCCTCGAAAGGGTTGGAGAGATGGGGTACAGGAGGTTTTGTGGCAAGGGGCTTGACTTCCTGCAAGCGTTGCGTGAGCGTGTTAGATAGGAGTGAAATGGAGACGCATGGTACTGGGGGACCTGACGATCAAGTTGGAGTGTGAGCAGGGTAATATTTTATGAAGGATTCAGGAAACCGTTATTTTCATAATGATTCGGGACTGAGTCCTGGAAATGGGAAGTACAATGCCTTCTCTTTAAAGGAGGGTTTATTGGGATATTGGCATTTGAGGGATATGTTGGTGTATCTTTATATGTGTATGCTTCTAGACTGTTGTATTCTGAGCACCTCAGCATAACATTGATAATGGGGGAGGTGGTGAAAGTGTTGAATGGGATGATGGAAAAGATTTTTCTTTTAGGGATTTTCTTTCTTTTTTATGGGTCACCCTGCCTCGGTGGGAGACGGCCGACTTGTTGAAATAAAAAAAAAAAAAAAAATCAGGGAAACCGGTTATTTTCAAATAGTCGGACTTGAGTCCCTGGAAATGGGAATACAATGCCTGCAACTTAAAAGGAGGGGTTTGGGATATTGGCAGTTTGGAGGGTGGATATGTGTAGTGTATAAACGAGTAATAACGTAAGGGGGGTGTGTTCGGTGCTCTAAACTGTTGATTCTGAGCACCTCTGCAAAAGTCAGTGATAATGCTCGAGTGAGGTGAAAGTGTTTGAATGAATGATGAAAGTATTTATCTTTTTGGGGATTTCTCTCTTTTTTGGCCCCCCCCCTTCGGGGGGGAAATTTAGGTGTGTGAAAAGGAAAAAAGGATGTGGAAAGGGGTATAAAGGAAGGTTTAGTAAAATGTGGTTTTTTTTTTTTTTATTTTTATGGGTGAGGTTTTAAAGGTTATTGATGTATTTATTAAATAATTCTTGTAGTTTATGTTTATTTTTTAATACAATAGAATTAATTATTTTTTATTTTAAGAATTCGTGAAAATACACCTAGCAGAACGTATTACCTCCCTCGGCTCTGTATAAAACCTACTACATAGGTTGAGGTTGTGTAAAAAAACATTATTATGGAGGCAAAGAAGGGAATTATGAAAGTAAGTATATCAACACTCTTATTATGTGTAACTTGGTTTGAATCAGCAGTAGGAGCGTTGAGCAGTGAGATGTCCTGTCTAAGGCAATGTTGGTGTAAATATTAATGCAGAATTCGATGTGATAATTAGGAGAGGTGTGGAGTTAATAAAAGTATTATTTTTTTTTTAGAAGGGTTGAAGAGGTTGTTGAGGTGGTTTGGTCATTTAGAAGAATGGATCAAATAGAATGACTGGAGGCGTATAAATCTGTCGGGGAAGAAGGCGGGTAGGGGTCGTCCTTGAAAAGGTTGGAAGGAAGGTAAGGGAGGTTTTGTGGGCGAGGGCTTGACTTCCAGCAGGCGTTGCATGAGCGTGCGTGTCGATAGAGTGAATGAGACGAATGTTATTTGGGACCTGACGATCTGTTGGAATGTGAGCAGGTAATGATTAGTGAAGGGATTCAGGAAAACGTTATTTTTTTTAAATAGCCGACTTGTGTCCTGGAAATGAAGTATCAATTCCTCACTCTAGATGGAGGGTTCGGATTTTAGCATTTGGTGTTTATTATTTATTTTTTAATTTTTAGATATGATGTGTATCTTTATACGTTATATGCTTCTAGAACTGTTGTGTTCAGAGCACACTCTTGCAAAAACAGTGATTAAGCAGTGAGTGAGGTGAAAGTGTTTGATGATGAAAGTATTTTCTTTGGGATTTTCTTTCTTTTGGGTCACCTGCCTCCGTGTAAATGGCCGACGTTTAAAAAAAAAAAAAAAAAAAATCTTTCAACACACCAGCCGTATCCCACCGAGGCGGGGTGGCCCAATAGGAAAAACGAAAGTTATTTATTTATTTATTTATTTTATGTCTTTGCAAACAGTACATTGAGATTTTGTACTTACAATAGTGGTTGCAATGCAAAGAGAGCCTCTATTATGCCTAGGCATTATGGGGCAACTTAACATTATTGGCTTACAGGCTACTTAACACTAAGGATTATATCATAGTTGTACAGTAGGACAGTAATTATTTCATAGTTGTACAGTAGATTATTAATTATAAATGAATCAAAATTTGTATAAGACAAAAGATCTATTCATATATTCAAAAAAACTTTTTGTGAAAAACAATGATCAATATATTTCCTGTCAACAATGTTAAAAGGTTCAAATGATTTGTTGAAGTGATGATGTGGGAGTACAATAAGGTTTTGTGTGACTGAGTATTTAGATTTAGTAGAGGGTGGATTAAGTGGCTTTTGAGAAGAGTCTTTGATTTTCAGACTAGGCTACTTTAATATCTTCTGGCAATGAATTCCATATTTTGGGGCCCTTTATGTGCATAAAGTTTTTACACAGTGTGATATGGACACGAGGTATATCAAAAAGAGATCTGTGTCTTGTGTTGTGGTCATGTGTCCTGTTTAGGTTGGTGAGGAGAAGTTTGAGTGGAGGGTTTACATTTGCGTGTATTTTTCCGTGTATGTAGTAGTCACATGAATAAGTATGGATGTTCTTAATGGTGAGCAGATTCAGACTTTTAGTAATACATACACAGGAGAAGGGGTTACTACCCCCTTGCTTCCGGCATTTTAGTCACCTCTTACAACACGCATGGCTTATGGAGGAAGAATTCTGTTCCACTTCCCCATGGAGGTAAGAAGAAATAAACAAGAACAAGAACTAGAAAGAAAATAGAAGAAAACCCAGAGGGGTGTGTATATATATGCTTGTACATGTATGTGGAGTGTGACCTAAGTAAGTAGAAGTAGCAAGACGTACCTGAAATCTTGCATGTGTATGAGACAAAAAAAAGACACCAGCAATCCTACCATCATGTAAGACAATTACAGGCTTTCGTTTTACACTCACTACTCACTTGGCAGGACGATAGTACCTCCCTGGGCGGTTGCTGTCTACCAACCTACTACCTAGGATATATATATATATACATACACATAATGCTTATGCTTAAGTTACATATATGATGTGCTTCTTCTACTTTAAATTGCCAAAATATTGGTCATAAGATTTAAAAAAAAAAAACTTACATGATAAGGAACAGTCTCAGATTGATGATCAGTGCATCAAAGTTAACTTAAAACAATCAAATTAATTTGATTTCTGAACTGGTTAAAAAGTTAAATTTTGTTGGCTAGTGTTATTACCAACAATCATGAATATAAGGTTTAGCTAACCTTATGCTTGATCTGTGGTGCCATGAAAGTTGTGAACCACCACGTCATTATCTTCGTCCACAAGGTGGGGTGCACGATGTAGAAAGCCTTTAAATTCTTCTTGTATCTAGGACATGAAAATATTGTTACTAAAAAAAATAATTAAATTATTGTACATTGCATATTGAAGTATTTGGATGTTATTTGAGAATATTAAATCATCCTTTTTATCCCTTTTATCTGGTAAGCAATATTAAGCAAAATTATTTTCCTAAATGTCCTGTCTCAAAATAAATACTGGTAAAAACTATGCTGTAGTTTCATTTCACAATGTCACTCCAAACAGCAAATATCCCAAACCCCTCCTTTAAAGTTCAGGCATTGTACTTCCCATCTCCAGGACTCAAGTCTGGCTAACAGGTTTCCCTGAATCCCTTCACAAAATACTGTATTACCCTGCTCATACTCCAACAGCTCATCAAGTCCCAAAAACCATTCGTTTCCACTCACTCCTTTCTAACATGCTCACACATGCCTGCTGTATGTCTAAGCTCTTGGCACACAAAACCTCTTTTACCCCCTCCCTCCATTCTCTTATAACACTGATAAAAAAGCACTACACATGAACAGGTTCAAGAGAGCCAAATGACAAAGAGGAGTGTGAAGGGGTAGTACTTACAGCAAGTGGGAAAGAAAAAGGAAAAAAAAAAATCATAGCCAATGAAGACTGTTTTGTGTAGGGATTCAGAGAATCTGAAACAAGGGAAATATGCCTATGGTGACAATTTTCAAATCACTTGTGGTCTCTTATTTGGAATACTGCTCATTGTTGTAGATGAATGGTTAGAGAACCGACACGTTGATAAATTAGACACATGTGCAACTCTTGGGTATTGAGGAAACGTTTCACTGCACAGTGACTTCATCGGTCCATACAGAGGAGAATGTTAAAGAACAGGAGGAGTTTGAGGTAATCAATCCCTCAGCCTTGAGTCGATGTGGTCAGTCCATCAATCTTGAAAAAAATACAGCATATCTGTGGAGAAGTAGCTTATATACCATAGGCAGGAGAGGTGCAGCAGTCGTAGGTGGTATCACATTTGACCAATGTGGAAGTAGGTCGTGCTCAAGGGTTAGACAAGTGAAGAATTCCCAAGTATTAAGATCCCAAAAAGTTGCAGTGTCAGACAATCCTGTCTGACATTGCAACTTCTTGGGATCTTAATACTTGGGAATTCTTCGCTTGCCTAACCCTTGGGCATGACCTACTTCCACATTGGTCAAATGTGATACCACCTACGACTGCTGTACCTCTCCTGCCTATGGTACATAAGCTACTTCTCCGCAGATATGCTGTATTTTTTTCAAGATTGATGGACTGACCACATCGACTCAAGGCTGAGGGACTGATTACCTCAAACCCCTCCTGTTCTTTGCCATTCTCCTTTGTATGGACTGATGAAGCCACTGTGTGGCAAAACATTTCCTCAATAAAGATACCCAAGAGTTGCACATGTGTCTAATTTATCAACTGCTCATTGCTGATGGCCCCATTCAGGGAAGGAGAGATATCAGAGTTGGAACAGATACAGAGATCATTTATGGCCCACACAGAGCCAATAAAGTATTTAAATTACAGGGAATGCTTTAAAGTCCTAAATATATACTCACTGAAGCAGAGGAGAGATACATACATAAAATATACCTGAAACATACTTGATGGGCCTGGTCCCAAATCTGCAAGTTGCCATAATATCTTGGAGTGAGAGATATGGAAGTGCAAAATAAACCCGGTGAAAAGCAGGGGCACCTTGGACACAATAGGAAATACTGTATTAATGTCCATGGCCTAGACTATTCAACATCTTACCAGAAGAGATCACTTCTGGGACATGTGCAGAAGTTTTAAAGAGGAAACTGGACAAGTATCTTCACCAAGTGCCAGATCAACCAGGCTGTGATGGATATGTGAACCAGTGGGCTGCCAGCAGCAGCAGCCTGGTTGACCAGGCAAGCACCAGATGAGCCTGGCCCAAGACCAGGCTCTGGAAGTAGAAAAAATCTTGGAACTCATCAAAGCTAAGACCACAGCAGTGAGAACCTCTGGGTGTTGAAAAAGAAAACAAAATAAACCCCTAAATTGTCGTATCTGAGTGCCTCTGGCAAGACAGTGATTAATGGTGAAAGTTTCTTTTACGGGTCACCCTTCCTCAGTAGGAGATGGCCAACATGTTTAAAAAAAAAAAAAATTATGTATGCAACAGTACTTGCAGCAAAGAGTGTGCTGACAGATTCATATACAATGTTAGAGTCATATATACAATGTTAGAGTGCTGTATCAGCATTTATTAAGCTTATACTTGCTTATAAAGTATACTCTCCCAAAGAATTTTATCAAATTATTCACAAAAAATTTAATGGAGCCCATATTATCAGAGATACCAATACTCATTTCTGAAGGCTATCTTGTGCTTATTTTATTGTTTGTTCATGATAGAAATATACCTAGATGGATGAATCCTATTAGAATCAGCTAGTTAAGTTACTAGCACACTGACCTGTGAGTTTTAGGGCTTCCCTGTCATGGATTTCAACCCTATCTGCTCTACGATTTGTTTCCGATCTTATTACAATTACGTGAATCATAATAATTCTTTTTTAACAAGTCGGCTGTCTCCCACTGAGGCAGGGTGGCTCAAAAAGAAAGAAAATCCCCAAAAAGAAAACACTTCCATCATCATTCAACACTTTCACCTCACTCACATATCACTGTTTTTGCAGAGGTGCTCAGAATACAACAGTTTAGAAGTATATACGCATAAAGATACACAACATATCCCTCCAAACTGCCAATATCCCAAAGCCCCTCCTTTAAAGTGCAGGCACTGTACTTCCCATTTCCAGGACTCAAGTCCGGCTATATAAAAATAACCAGTTTCCCTGAATCCCTTCACTAAATATTACCCTGCTCACACTCCAACAGCTCTTCAGGTCCCAAATACCATTCGTCTCCATTCACTCCTATCTAACACGCTCATGCACGCCTGCTGGAAATCCAAGCCCCTCGCCCACAAAACCTCCCTTACTCCTTCCTTCCAACCTTTTTGAGGACGACCCCTACCCCGCCTTCCTTCCCCTACAGATTTATACACTCTCCATGTCGTTCTACTTTGAGCCATTCTCTCTAAATGACCAAACCACCTCAACAACCCCTCTTCAGCCCTCTGACATACATTTATTAACTCCACACCTTCTCCTAATTTCCACACCAAATTTTCTGCATAATATTTACACCACACATTACCCTTAGACAGGACATCTCCACTGCCTCCAACCGCCTCCTCGCTGCAGCATTTACAACCCAAGCTTCACACCCATATAAGAGTGTTGGTACCATGATACTTTCATATATTCCCTTCTTTGCCTCCATAGATAACTTTTTTTGTCTCCACATATACCTCAATGCACCACTCGCCTTTTTTCCCTAATCAATTCTAAGATTAACCTCATCCTTCACAAATCCATCCGCTGATACGTCAACTCCCAAATATCTGAAAACATTCACTTCTTCCATACTCCTCTTCCCCAATTTGATATCCAATTTCTCTTTATCTAAATCATTTGATACCCTCATCACCTTACTCTTTTCTATGTTCACTTTCAACTTTCTACCTTTACACACACTCCCAAATTCGTCCACTAACCTCTGCAATTTTTCTTCAGAATCACCCATAAGCACAGTAACATCAGCAAAAAGTAACTGTCAATTCCCATTTTGTATTTGATTCTCCATAATTTAATCCCACCCCTCTCTTGAACACCCTACCATTTACTTCTTTTACAACCCCATCTATAAATATATTAAGCAACCATAATAAATATATTATGTAAAAAATTTAGGATCATATACAGTGGAACCTCAGTTCTCATATACCCTAGTTTGTATGTAAAACTATAGTTATTCTCTATAAAATGTATTTTTTGTTAATATTTCCCATAAGAAATAATGTAAATCCATGTAATCCATTCCAGACACCCAAAAATCTTAACAAAAAATACATTTTATAGAGAATAACTATAGTTTTACATACAAACTAGGGCATATGAAAACTGAGGTTCCACTGTATATGCCTTATCCCAGGTGTACATCTTACTCCCATAGGTCAGTGTTAGTATCAATATACTTCTTTCTTTCAATGTACCAGCCGTATCCCTCTGAGGTGGGGTGGCCCAAAAGGAAAAACGAAAGTTTCTCCTTTCAAATTTAGTAATATATACAGGAGAAGGGGTTACTAGCCCCTTGCTCCCTATCAATATACTATCAATTCTTAAGTTCCTAACATATTTTTCATTATCCTTCATTGATTCTTAACCTTGAAGGAAGGGGGTTCAGTCCCTCAGTTAAAGGACTGGACACCTTCCATGAAGGCAAATTAAAGGGCTGAACACTTCAAAATTACATCCACACCTTTTTCACCATATCAAGTATAAAAGATGTTTTTACATCAGATTGGAAAAGCCTACTGTAAAGGTGAAATAAAGATAACCAGATGTCTTATTCATCATCATGAGAGAATTGGAAGAGAACTATGATGAAGCCAAAGAGATAAGTGTGGCCGAATTGTATGAAGCCAAGCCAGGTGTGACGAAGAAAAGGTTACAAAAGACAGAATGTTTCCAAATTATCTAAAGGAAGACCTACGTAGTCCAGATGAACATGCGTAGTCCAGAAGAACATTTGAATAATGGCACCGGAGTGCCACAGGGTTTCCTTCCCCACTCACCAAAATGGTCATTGCACTTACCTTATTTTGATGGTAGCAACCTTAGTGATAGCAGGTTAATACACATAACATGAGCTGCAAAGGAAGGTAGGAACACCATACAAGAGCTCTAATGCAAAAAGGACAAAGCCCATGGGCTAGGGAGGTACCATTGCAATATATTATTGGTTAAGAAAACCCAAGAGCTGAAGTTCTAGCCTCATTACCAAGCAAGTACATGAATGCATGAAGGAACACACACATTCACTCTTGTAGCATCCTTTAAATTAAAATGTAATAATGTTCAATTCATCTAGACCTAGTCTATGCTAAGTATTAGAACAGTAGCAGGACCTAGACCCCTCCATATTCCATGATCCTAGACCCCTCTACATTCCATGGTCCTAGACCTCTATATATTCTATGATCCTAGACCTCTCTATATTCCATGGTCCTATTTTTTTTTTTTTTTTTTTTTTTTTTTTTTTTTTTTTTAGTTTTTTTAGTTTTTCCTTCCACTTTGCTAGGAACACATTCTTGAGGGTCCAAAGAAAACACTGCAACTCACTTGTATTCGAGAGCTTCATAAATTTGTCTGATCCAGGAGAGAGAGGGATGGTTCTCTGTTCCAGTGATGGTATGGAAGTAGAGCACAACATAATCTCCTTTGACCAGTGGATCCAGTAAATAGATGAGGTACAAAAGAGCCTGCGAATAGTAAGTACAATATAGCTTCACTGAGTTAAGATACGGGCATATAAGACACATTAAGTGAAATGAACCACCATTACATAGAAATACTAAACTATCTCTTATTTTGGAATTCTCACTTAGAATTTGCCCAAATTCAGAGTCAGAATTTTAAATTTGGAATGATCTCTGCAATCTGGAATTTTCTACACTGAATGTTCTGAACTATTTTGAGCCAAAATATTACCTAATTACACAATTATATATTGGATGAATGCAATATTACAATTCAATATTGTACATGATTCTCTTGACAAATTCTAGTACTTAACACTAATAACTTTCTGTTCTCCAGATATTTTATCCACTTCAATCATTTCCTCAAGTATTTTGACACAATACCTGCAACCAGTTTTGAGGGGTTTTCTAGCCTTGTAGCATGTCCTGAGGCCAGTCTTTCCTTCTGACAGAGATGGACCTATAGTTTAATGGGTCTTCCATATCACCTCTCAAGTATTTGCATATGATCAACTATTTATGATTATCTATTTGTAGTTACAGAAACAGAGCTAAGCTCATGGTGCCCCATCTTTAGTATTCAGTCAATCAAAGTTTCTTAAAGTTCCCAAAGGTTGTAGAACTCACTGCTCTCTCTATTGTTAGCAAAGAAGAGCTTTGTAGTGCTTGCAGATTCTTAAAGATAATAAACACATTTCAACACAAAGGTGAAAAGCACTAAAAGCAAAAGTCTCAGACAGACCTTGTATCCAACAGCAGTGAAAGGAAAGACATTAGCATCAACATGTACTTACCAGAATTAAAAAAATTATTCAGAATACATTAGTGAAGAAATCCACTGAAGAAAAAATGCACTGCAGGAAAATCTTTTATTGGAACATTGTTATATGCATAACAAAAGTAATCTCAATAAAATCTTCTTTTGCAAAGTGCATTTTCTTACTATTGTTGACATTGTCATTTAAATAAACACACACACAGTGCACACCTGTGGGCACACACACACACACACACACAGGAGCTGTGAATTGACCCCTGCAACCACAACTAGGCTGGTACACACCCCAATAGAAAAACTGAAGCAACACACCTTATCTAAATTTATTTCATTGAATTTAAACCATTTGCCAATGAAGATTATCACAGGTCGACCAAATTTGTCAACACCACACTGGTAGAGACAGCCAATCCCAGAAACCTCACTCAGATCCTCATTTTTAGCACGGCGTAACAAACGCTCATACCTGTCAATGCAGATGGGGAAAATAAACTAGTTACACCACAATGCAGTATATGACAAAAAATTCCCTACAAAGGAGAGGGACACACTAAAATGAATGGAACTAATAAACAATCTTAATATAAAACTGTTTTTTCATCAAAACTTATGTTTTGCTGATTATGCTCTGGGATGTACTGGTACAGTATTAGTATATTTGTGATATTTACAGAGCACTTTGACTGTATAGGTTGCTCAGCACTTGGACAAATAAAACAGCAATATACAACACACAATAAAAACAGGATAAAACCAACAAACCATAAAAGCCACAGACATGAATAAAGTGCACAATACAACTAGAATATGCTGAGACAGTCTTAGGAAGTGCTGTAGATTGTCTTCAGAAGTGGTTCAAGTATTCTGGGATGTGCTGGGATTATGAAGAACGCTAAAGGTAAGAATCGAGACAAGTGCTAAGATCTGAAAGTTATGAAAGTAAGAGTATGAAGAAATTAAAGGACCAACAAAGGAGTATGTAATTTAATGACAAAAATGGCATGTTCCACTGAATGGCATTCCTTGGCATAATTAAAAGTTGTGTGGAATTGTAGGATTGCCAACAAATATGGTAAAAACTATTTAAGAAGACTTATATGTAAAGAAAACGTTTCACTCACTGAAGAACTTTTTAAAGTCAAGTCTGATGTTGTCATTAAAGAAAAATTAGCTCTGCAAATGGTTGGTTTTTACTATAGCTAAAGTTCCTCATGTGTAAATTAAAGTTAGTAGAAAAAGTGACTGTTGTAACTGCATGTTTTGGATAAAATACAATAGGTAAAGTTCAAGAGTATTTTCTGGAAGGGAAGGAGCAGTGAGAATCAGTGAGTGTATTGACTGATTAGTTTTAAAAATTTGCCAAGCGCTAAGATCTGACATCATTCGGAACTCTTAAATTTAAAAACATTAAGATTAATACACAACTAAAAACACACATGAATTAAATTAGGTCCTTATAATGTTGAAAGAATGAAATACTGTACATTAAAACCATATACCACATATACCACAGTAAGTATCTGAAAGACTTAAAAGTTTGGACACAAGATTAATTAAAGTGACCATCAATAGCACACAAGTTACACAAATAACAGTGATCATTTGTGTAATATAAATTCACTTGCTAAACAAAGATAAAAAAAAAAGCCTCATTTAGTACTAAATGAGGATCTACTGTATATATAGGAAAAAAATTCTTTGGCAACCACATGTATCCCACTTATTAACCAATTGGTGGTGGCTTAGCAATTTAAAAATAATACAAAACCTTCACCTATCTTTGCTTTACTAAAAAAAAAATTACATCAAATGATTACATACCAAAACAAATATTTTTGATAATAAAAATAACGATAAACTTCACTAAACCTAACAAAAAAAATCATAAAAACATTTCGAACAAAAAAAAAAAAAGAATTCATAACACATTTTGATTTGAAAAACACATTTCTGCATAAAGGACCCTGGGATATCTGCCTAGAATACAGTATGTCCCACCTCATTCACACAAATACTTACCTCTGAGACTCATTAAAGCCCAGTGTGAGCACTGTACTCTGCATAGGGCATGGCAATGCTTCCTTGTTGTGACTGGCACCAGCTGGGACCCCTGCAATGCTCAGGAGACCCAGTTGGCAACCAAAAGAGCTGGGGAAGGCAGCAGATAATGTGAGGAGACACCTCCTGGGTGCATCTTATGCAGAAATGCATTTTTAAATTAGAACATGTTATTAACTATGTAGTGGGAGCCCTGGAAAGCACATGCTGAACCATGCCAATGCCACCAAAGAATGAAGATGGCTGCTGAACAGTGGCATAATTCCAGGGAGGCTCATCACAATGACTAACCAAGCCAGTGTGAAGGCAGATTTAACCGGACTGCTGACAAGTGCGTTGACAGGCACATCAAAAGGATCTCTGAACATGGTCCTGAGCATAGGCTGCACCAAAAAAGAAGCTGGCCTCGATAACAGCTTACGAGTCGGAGCATCCCTGACATTACTTACACACCATGCACAAGAATAAGCAATGGCAGGCAAGCTTCAAGCAGTCACAGGCATAGACCCCCTAAACTCATGTAGATGACACACCAAAAATAGTCCAGAGTTTAATCTCACCAAGACGAGGCCTTCCCCTATCCAGCCTCAAAGGCAAAGGAACTCGGATATTTATACCAGAAGAAGCACGCCACCATGACAGAGAGCCATACAGGCCCTGGCAGAGAAATTCAGACCACAAGAATAAGAACCTGATTGCACCAGATTCGATGCTCTAAAGAGAGCATGAACCTCACAGAGGAGCCTGGTGTAATGTCCCAGGGCAGGCCTAGAGCTTTAGGAAAACCCTCCTACTGTATGACATGCATCCAGGTAATACACTCCAACGGTAAGAACAAAAACCCCGGAAGAGTACTTACCCATCACCTGTTGGTGTGGTGTGTTGCAAGGCGTTTTCCATCACTGGCTGACTGCCGCTAGAACACCTGCAAAGAGAGGGTGGTTACCTGCTAAACCTTAGGCCAGCTCCAGGCCCTGGCCCTGGGACACAATAGTCCAAATGGAACATGGAAGGAGTCTGATGAAAGGTAACACCTCTGAGCATCATAAGTGACAAACTCCCACATGCAGCTTAGAAAGAACAGAAGGCCTCACCTCAGAACAGCAGAGAGGAAGGCCAGGGAAGGACACTCTGAGAACCAGACAAATCTGGCATGCATACTGCTCAGTAACCCTTGGCAGGTGACCAGAAGCCAACAGGGTAAGGGCTACCAGGCCAAAGATGAAATGTCCCTGGAGTCATGGGAATAATAGGCAAACACTTACCCAAGAAGTGGTAAGGCACAAAGATAAATTGACTAACTCGCATCAACATCATGAAAGAACATAAAAGAGATATGTTCCCTGTATGAGCAGCATAAAAGAAGGAAACACTTAAGAGCCCTGAAGCAGAGGCAGGGAGGGATCATGAACATCTGGCAGAGACAAGGCAGGGTAAGGTGCATTTTCCTCATTGGTTAGAAGGGCACAGCTACCCATGAAGGCCATACCCTAGAAGAACAACAATACCATGTAAAGGAGTGTATCCTCAACATGAAGATATGCATATGGCCCGCAAAACCAGCCCAACTATATACATGGAAATTACTTGAACATCAGTAAAATAAGTCCAATAAAAAGTAGGTGTGTATACTCAATTAGAGAACATTACATCAACATTCATGGTCCAAGACTCTTCAACCTTTTACCAGCAGGTATCAGAAATATTGCTGGAACAAAGGAAGAGGGTTGCAAGAGGAAAGGGGACCTCCAGCTGCAAAAGAAGTGTCAAATCTGCCAGGTTGTGATGGTTATGTAGGTCTGCCAGACACTAGCAGCAACAGCCTGGCTGACTATGCAATCATCAAGGAAGAGAAGACCAAGACCAGGCTTCAGGAATATAAGAGCACTCAAAACCAGTCGCAGGTATGTCAGACGAATGAGATAAGAGATCCAGCAGATCATGGAGATACCTGCAAAGATGTGAGAGAAGTAGATGGTTGTATTTGCAAAAGGGACACAAGATCTTCTCTGTGGGAAGAGAAGGTAACAGTTACCATAGAGCCAGGGCATAGAAGCTGGGCAAGGGCAATGCAACTTGAAAGATGGAGATGAGTAAAGCTGAACTACACATCCAACCTCTGCAGGAAGCACCTCAGAAAGACGAGACAGCCTCTTGTGGTGAATAAAGAAATCTGTCACACAGACTATCTAAAGCACCATCCAGAGATCTGGAGACATGGCCAGTTAAGACAAGCCAGTCATTGAAATGTTGTCCAGAGAGATGAATATTACATGCAAGCAATGAGTACCAGGACTTTGAATTACAGATTGATAGATGTATGCATGAAGACCCATGGTGTTTTCTTGAGCCTTATTAGCAAAGCTGCGAACTGGTAGCTTCAGCTGTCCAAATGGAAGGGGAACAAACTGCTGATGAACTCTCCCACTTGAAATACCCTTGTGAAAAAATTAGTAAATTTGTCATACAAGAATGAGTGAAACCATGAGAGTCACTGATCAAATTATGCTCACTGAGGTGACAGTAGATAGTATACATAATTACTGAGTCTGGAAATCTCATTACTGAGGTCATGCTGACTGGTCAGAGTCTTGAAGCTAAGGGCTTATTTTTTTTAAACAGATATGTCACTGGCCATCTTTCACATTTCTGGCAAAGTAGTCATGTAGTGATAAGAGAGACTAGTAACAGGTTTACAAGGTTCATCTTTGCTTTCTTAAAGAAGCCTTGAAAACAGTTCTTCAGAACAGTGACTTTTTGGTTTCAGTCTGAGAATCATGTTGCTTATAACTGACCTTACTCAGCTTTCATTATATCCAATATTAATTATTATTATTTTCTTGGATTTCTTTTCTCCTGCCAGGAAATAAGTCTGAAGAATGAAAACATTTTTGTTATTAGTTAGCTGCACTGAGGTTAACTGAAATTTTCAGTACTGCTTTGCTAACCATCACTTTCTCAATTCTCTTAACTGTTGTGACAATCTACCAATAATTTATGCTCACTTCCACTCAGTATTCCTCCTCCATGTCCTGTATACCAACATACATAGTAACTTATGTTTATAAAGTGCTAATCAAAAGATCCCAAATGTGCTAAAGTAAGTAAACTCTTAATTTCATCTTAGCCCTGACAAATCACCATAACATCTGCCACTTACTTCCCATTTCCCCATAAAAATATTACAACCATATCCCCAGGATAAAGCAGTTTCTTTAATAATTTTTATATTAAATCAAGCACCTTTTCCTCTTGCATCACCACTTAAAAAATAATTTGCCTATGTTAGCAGGATTGTAAGCACATATTAATACATACCAGGTACCAAGTCCAATCTCTCAAACTTATTCTGTCACACTTACAGATTTTGGGAGAAAGCTCAAGTGTCATCCCCCACTCCCTCCTTCCTACTTTATTTTTTTAGTGCTTCATTTATTCTCTACTATACCTGACCTTACTGCCTTGTATTATTACCTCACTTAACCTGACCTGATCTAGTACATCCTGACTCCACTACACCTACAACCAAACCTAACCTGTTCATTCTACAGTTCCATCGAAACCCAACCTGACATGACCCAATTTTGTGACTATACTACTCCATCCAATCCTAATCTGACTTAAGTCTTCCTCTTTCCATAGCAATCCTCTATTCAAACCCAACATACCCTGATCATAATACTGCTTCATCTAGCTCTGTCACTTATTATCTAGCTCCTTGCCTGGTTTAAACATTTTACCTCAAGTTGTGCATCATTTACGTACATCTAACTTTCCTAATTATTTCCTCTTCACCTCTTGTTTCCTTCAAGATAACTGGATGCTGAAGGGCTCTTGATCTGAGGAGTTGGAGCTGCCCTCTCCTTCACTGAATAAAACCTGATTAAACATTTCCGGTTATCATCCTGGTGCTCTTCAACTTGCAGATCACATACCTGCATTTATTATTTCTTCCCACTTAATTTCCTTTACACTTACTCCTCTAATTTATTATTATCACACCTGCCACACCTCTTTTACATATTAATCAACTAGGGCCCAAACTTACATATACCCAACTTAGAAACACCTGCACTTATGAACATGGCACTAAAAAACATTGATTTGCAGTTAAAAATATAGCAAACATTCAAACCAATTTATAAAAGTTATTTCACAATTACTTTATGGAATGTGTTCATATTCTGTGTATGTTCAATTTACACACATACAGAGAACTTACATTTGTTTGGTAGACTGGTTAAGAAAGAACTCTAGATTTAATATTTATGATTTTAAGGTGGAATTGTAAGTGTTTTTCTCAGTTTTTACAAAATGCAGTGGTAGTTTGTTTTTCTTTTTTTTATGCATGTGTGGAGTATTAAGTTTTTTTTTGTTTTTTGTTTTTCTTTTGCACAACAAGGTTAAGAACTGTAAATTAAATAATTATATTGTTTTCCTGGGGTGTGATGGCCACCGCTGCTACTCACATACTGAACACGTCGGTGGTCAACTCCTCCCAATAAAGCAAACACTGATTTCTCTCACGTGATTTTTAGAAAAGTTCTCAGCACACAGTACCTGTACATTTTTTGTAGCTAAATTAGGCTGTTGTCAATAAGAAAAAATATAACCAGTTATTGATATGACGTGACATCAGTAAATGCAACAGATAAGAGTGATAAAATGTTTTAAAGAGTGAACAGAAAACAGACACCCACAGAGTGCACATTACAATAGACAAGTCACAATCACATTTTCATTCCAAAGTCAGTCATACATTTAAAGTTTATTTTCCATAAAATATAGTATACATTATATTCTAGTTTACCATATATGGAAAAGTTCATAATTATGAAATGCATTTTGGCAAAGTGATATACTACTGATGATAAGGAGGATAGACTGTAGTGATTAAGGTGCAGGAGCTCTGCTCATTCACAACACACCCTCTTTTACACAATTACCTTCAACACTACTCACCCCCATCCTTATATCAGACATAGACAGAGATGTAACCCACAGCACCGTATCATCCTTTGCAGACGACATTAGGATCTGCATGAGACTGTCGTCTATTGAGGACGCGGTTAACCTCCAAGAAGATATAAACCAAGTTTTCCAATGGGCAACGTAAAACAATACGATGTTCAGTGAAGATAAATTCCAACTACTCCGTTATGGAAAACTGGAGGAGATAATAACTAGAACTGAGTACAGTGGACCCCCAGTTCACGATGCTATCGGTATCCGATAAATCCGGTAGCCGATGCACTATATCGCCAAAAATTTGCCTCGGTTCCTGTTACAAAACCCGGTATGCGATGCGATTCGTACGAGACGTGTCCATGTGTGGCCTGAACTGCCCCGTGTGTGCCAGTGTTTGCAAGCCAGCCAGTGTGCGCACATCTAAGGATACATTCAGTACATTCCATATTATCCATATTATCACTGTTTTTGGTGCTTGTTTCTGCAAAATAAGTCACCATGGGCCCCAAGAAAGCTTCTAGTGCCAACCCTGTGGTAAAAAGGGAGAGAATTAGTATGGAAATTAAGAAAGATTTTGAAGGGTTTGGGGCTAACCCTGAGAAGCCTATGCCAGTTGTGGACTCCATTGTGCCTACTTCAAAAATTAAGGAAATGTGTGCAAAGTGGATTGAACTGCACACCTTAATTGGATGAAAATCACCCTAACACAGCTATTGCAAGCCATGCTGGTGACTATTACAATGACAATGTTATGGCCCATTTTAGACAAATCTTAAAGGAACGGCAACAGAGGTCCAGTGACTCTCAAGCTGGTCCTAGTAGCATTAAAAGAAGAAGGGAAGTAACCCCGGAAAAGGACTTGCTACCTCAACTCCTAATGGAAGGGGATTCCCCTTCTAAACAGTAACAACTTCGACACTCTCCCCTCCTCCCATCCCATCAATCATCACCAGATCT